CCCCAAAACCCCAAAACCCCAAAACCCCAAAACCCCAAAACCCCGTGAAGGAAAAGAAGTTGTATAATTATAATTTATAATTTTTCCAAGTGTGAGTAAAAATGCCAAGATCAAAAAAGAACAAGCAGTAAGGATCTTAGCTATTTTAACTAGATTTGGTAGTATTAGGCCTCCATCTCTACTGAAATTGCCTGATTTAGCATGAGTTATGTTTCATAGAGGGGTTCCATACATTCTGTTCACTAATGTTATGGTTGATGAGGATAAAATCGAATACCCCATCTTTATATTTAAACTTACGGGTTTTAGATACGATGCTCCTTTTCTTTCGGAGTGGGTGTTATCAAACCTGAATTTTAGTATGAATCTCTTTGGTAGATAGGAGGTGATCCTATTTGAGGTATTTGGGTATATTCTTGTACTAGTTTTTAGTCTTCCAAGAAAGCCCTCCAAAATTTAAGTTAAGATCACCAGATAATGGTTCTGAGGTTTAGAGGTTCTTTAACCTCAGTAAATAGGTTTTTTAGGATTAGTTTAAAGTTAAGAACATGCGGCCAACTTAAATATAGGATGTAGGGTCTTATCTGCTTAGTTCCATGTCACTAGAATAATCTTTGACAGTAGATATACATACTCATTCAAAAATAGAGCTAAATCTCTCTTATCCTGATGTCTCCAACTTAGTGTGAAGCCTGATTGATGCTGAAGTTATATGGAATTTCTTCCCAATTTTTTCTCAGTCTAAGATTTAAGAGTGACTCTTTAAGAAACTTTATCAAAGCTTGACTTTTTCTAGGTTCAAGAACACAATGAAGATGAATGACACGATAAATGAATTGGGAAGACACCTCTTCACCTCATCTCGTGTTAGTTGAAAAGTCACAATGGAAGGTAAGCTCACTAGGCTTCAGGCTAACTCTGATTTTGTAGGTTGCTCCATTTCAAGCATGCATGCCTTGAAAGAGATCATGAGCAGCACAGGATGGGAAGCAGGAAATCCCATGGATCTTATGAATGATGACAAGATGTTCAAAGCTGATAAAGAAAATGTGGTTAGAGTCACTACTAATCTGTCAGAAGATGACAGTGAGACTGATAATACCTTAGGAGATAGCATTACTTCCGAAAACCTCCTAAGACATTCCTCAGGTTTGCTAAACTCACCCCCTAAGTTATCAAGTATGTCTAGTTTTCAGCCTAGGTCTAATTTTTTAGAGGATTATAAGAGGTTCAGCCAAGAGCTGCCTGCGGATCAAGATCTTAGTGAAAATATCCAAAATTTGCCTCCAGTTAAGATCCTAGATGCGAATGAAAAACTAAGTGAACTCGATAGTGAAGGCTACAGAGCGATTTGGGCTAGACTCATGTACAATGATGTCTATAGCATGAGAAGAACTAAGCACTGGGTCCGCATTGAAGAAGAGATTGACACTTCTAACACCTGAGATATCGCTGGAACTTACTACCAGAACGTGATGGGAATGGTGGATACAGACCATCTCAAATCAAATTTCAGTGAAAGAGATGATATAGCTCTCAGCATGCTCCTTAACAAAGTTTATTCAGAGAAAAGTTATTATTACAACAAGTTCCAGGAATGAGCAAGTGAAGCACTTGAGTTTGTCAAAAGCATTGTTGGAGAACGATGCGTTGAATCCTTAATCAGTATTCTTATTTTATGTGTCCTCAGAGGAGTTCGAGAGAGAAGAAGAATTGTTTTACACCACATAAAAGATCTCGTTGTATGAGAGAAGAAGATTGAACAAAAGAAACTTTTTAAGGTTATGATGCTCAAGCCTTTCAAAGGATCCGAAGCATTGTATAAGAAGTTCTTAAAACAATTTATGACAACTATGGTAATTTTAGTCAAAGGAACTCAAGCATTGCTAGAAATGTTCCAGTATTTGACAACAAACTCTGAGCCTAGCATCGCAGATTATGACTTCAAGAACTTGGGCAAGGTTTTATTTAATGGAATAATATACAACAACCCCTTAGTGCAGGAGTGCCTAAATGAAATTGACAGAGAATTGCCAGGACAACCAATAATCCTCTGCAGCTCATACGAGTCATTAAGTGAAGGTGAAACTCCTCAAAAACCAGAGTTAGAGTACAACTCAATCAAGGTTCATAACTACATGAGGTTAAGCGATGGAGAAAAGTCGGAGTTTATTTTATTTATTCTGAAGACCAAGGCAGTGAAATTCAAAGATATCGAGATCACGAATAGGAGGCCTTTCACTAGTAAAGATTTTAGAGATTTAATGATAAATCCTCAAGCAGATCTTTATGGAGTAAAATTCCCTGAACCAAAGCAGCAGTCACAATCATATAGACACTTCGTTAGGCTCTTTAGGTATAAAACCGAAAATAAGCCTATACTAAAAGGATGGAAGAGGTTTAGATCTGACTCGTATTCCTCAAGTGACAACTTAAGTGACCAAGATTTTCCACATGAAATATTTGAAAGCGACATCCCAACTTCCCTTATAGATGATAAGTAAGCTCTACCAACCTCCCTTCTTTAATGACTCATCTAGGTACGGACTGGACGACGACCACACCAAAGAACCCATCCCATGCAAGAACCAACCCACAAAAATCGAAGAAATCAACAACGGCTTCGAAGAACTCCTCAGAGAAGAAGAGAAGAAAAACCTTGAAGAAAAGATGATGCAGGAAGAGCAAAAGAAGCGCCAAGAAAAAGGCAAGAAGAAGAAAAAGAAGAAGAGGAACAAGAGGAAAAACAAGAACAAAAAGGACGATACTGTTAATAAAAGTAAATGACTGGTTAATTTTAGGCGCTGCGAAGAAGGAAGTCGAGAAAGAGATAAAACAGGAAAGAACCAAGGTTAATGAGAAACCTCAGGGGAGACAACAAGGGAAACCCCATAGGAGAAAGGAAGTGCAGGAGGTCTTTTATGAGGACTGTGTGGTTATAGAGGAGTTTAATAAGCGTACTTTGGAAGACCTGACGGATGAGATGTTTGAGAAGCAGTTTGAAGAGTTTACAGAAAACCTTTCTCATAAGTTCTTCTCGAAAGAGGATAAGAAGAAGTTTAATAAGACTTATGGAACCAAAATAAAACCGAATATTATATCTGGATGGATCAGTGCACTTCAGAATAAGATTGGGAAGTATTTAGGAATTGACTGAGTTCCATTATGATCTTAAAATTATTACTAAAGCTACCTATGGGGTTTTGGGGTTTTGGGGTTTTGGGGTTTTGGGG